CATCTTCATTCTTTACATCTTCTAAACTTTATTTCGTAAATTATATTATATGAAGCACGTCAGTGTTACAAAAATTGGGTCTTGGAAATACCTGCACAACACGTTACTTTTAGATCAAAATTTCCATTTTTTATTTAATTAAATACAGTAAAAACTATTGGAACTTATATATTTCTTTCCTATTCACCCAACAAAAACTCAAAAATATTGATTAAGGTTTTGTGTTAAAATTTGGAGTGAATATGTTTTTAATCTCTTGAATTCAAAAACTCATTTCAATTAATCAAATTTCGAAAAATACGATTTAATCTTTTTTTATACTTTGAAAGATTTCAAAATAATTTAAAAAATAGTTTCTCAAAATTATATTTTAGATGCTAAATATATTTTTAATTTAAAGAATAAAAAAATTACTTTAAAATAATAAAATTATATTCATTATAAATCTTATGAATTAAAAATATAATTTTGGTTATTATCATCTACGTTAACTTACTGTGTTACCGCAAGACAAATCGAATACTAGTATATATTTTAAACTATCATTATTTACTAATGTCGCTTAAACATACTTAATGTCACTTAAATTAAAAGTTTAAACATCAATCTGAATATGCTTTTAAAAGAACTATGTAACCACGTATTTTTTTCTTCCTATAAAATTAGCCACCTAAAAAAATTTATAAATAAAAAATTAAGTTAAATATTAAATTCTATCCAAACAAAACTTTTAAGATAAGTCATTTTTTGTTTTTTTTAGTTATTTCTAATTTTAAGGGGAGAATCTAGATAGCAGGTATATTATATTATATAGAGCATTGTCCAAGTTTTATAGAGCATTTCAATTTCATGCAAGTGATGAGATCTACGAGGGACAAACAATAGAAGAAGCCACTTAAGACAGTAGTGGTATGCTCAAGTGAAAGTTAAGTCAGCTTAACTTTTACTCAAATAAGACTATTTTCCCTTAAGTAAGAAAAGAGAAAATTGATGCATTTTAAAGTGTTTTTTGTCTGAAGTTCTAAAATTCATAAAAAAATAATTTTGAACTCCAAATCTTACTTTTCATATATGAAAATTAAAGTATTAAAAATAAGAAATTCAATGAAATAATAAATAGTAAAAAATGATATCTCCAAAAGAAGTTATAATTAAAAGAGTAATCAAAAATCAAATTAGACAAAAAACATAATTATAAGATTTAGTCAAAATAAACTCAATTTATTATAAATGTAAGAAAATAACCTATGTAATGATTTATAAAATGATATAGTAGTGTTGTATTCTTAATACTAAGATATATGTTGAGACTTAGTCAAGCTAGGAGAACAACTCATAATTGACTTTGACAACGAGACTAAGTTAAGTTATAAATGTGATACATAATCGATTGAAATGTGTGTGGTTTTGGGTATCTGGGGGAAGGTACCCTGAGGTGTTAGTGTGATTATTATGTTTGTGCATATGTAATGAGACCTAAAGTTTCATTAATAGTTTCGATTAAGTAGACTTAGTTATTAGTAGATGATGAATCGATGAAGAGATTATTGATGATTTAACGAGTAGTGTTATCAATAGTCTTACTTTGTAGGTGGAGAAACCAGAATGATACTGATAGTCAATACATATCTAGTGCAATATCGATTTCAATGTAACCCACAAATATTAATATTTAAGTTTGGAGCTCATTTTTCATCTTCTAAAATATGTTTGTATAAATATGTAATATGATGCACATTATTCAATAAGCACTACTACAAAATATGCTTTCAACGTCGCCATTTAACGTCGGTTAAAGCTGAGCCGACGTTAAATGCACTTTCAACGTCGGTTGATTAAAAAACGACGTAGAAAGTACATTCAACGTCGGTTCCCTGATGAACCGACGTTGAATGTGTTTTCACCAAAAATTCTTTTAAGTTAGAGAATTGTCATTGGCAGGGTTCGAACCCAGTACTTTAAAGTTGAAAGTTGATACTCCAACCACTAAACTACTGTAATTTTCCGATAATAACTTACAAATTAATTATATTTATATACAAATAAATATATATTCCGTATAAATATATATTTATTTATATTTTCTGGAAAGTGTTTTTATTTTTTTTAGCAAAAAATTCACTTAAGTTAGAGAATTGTCATCGACAGGATTTGAACCTAGTATTTTAGAATTGAAAGCTAATACTCCAACCACTAAACTATCGTAATTTTCTCGATAATAACTTACGAGATAAATTATATTTATATACAAATAAATATATATCCGTGTAAATATATATTTATTTATATATATTTTCTGGAAAGTGTTTTTATTTTTTTCAGTAAAAAATTCACTTAAGTTAGAGAATTGTCACTAATAGGATTCGAATATAGTATTTTAGAGTTGAAAATTAATACTTCAACCACTAAACTACTATAATTTTTTGATAATAATTTACAAATAAATTATATTTATATACAAATAAATATATATCCGTGTAAATATATAAATACAAATATATTTATATATTTTTATGTTGGATGTGAGGGCGCGATCGAGGGTGAAAGTGAGATTGACTCTCATTTGAGTGAAAATACGTTAAAGCTCACGAGAAATTCACTCGTTCAAGCCTAGCTTGAGCGAAAATTGGTATTTTTCGCTTGAGCGAATGTGTCACTTGAGCGAATGATGCGTTTTTCAAATTTATTTTATATCATTATATAAATAAATTATAAATATTATATTACGTCATTAAATTACAAACCCATATATAGAGACTCGCTCACAAATTTGGCATTAAATTTTGAAAACCCACTCGACACACACTTTCACCTTCGAGCGTGCCCTCACATCCAATATATAAATATATAATTATATAAATATATTAAAATATATAAATATATTTGTATTTATATATTTACACGGATATATATTTATTTGTATATAAATATAATTATTTGTAACTTACTATCAAAAAATTCGAGTAGTTTAGTGGTTGGAGTATCGACCTCCAACACTAAGGTACTGGGTTCGAATCTGTCGATGACAAAAAAATAATTTGGTAATGCTTTAAACTTAAAAAAAATATGATAAATAATAAAAATATAATATAAAAGAGAGGGGGATTTCTAGATAAATAAAGGGGATGGAAAGGTTGGAAATAAATAAAAAAATTTAATTTAAAAAATCAGACTTTCAACGTCGGTTCTATTCGACGTTGAAGGCCTTATTTGTAGTAGTGAAGGTAAAAGAAAAGAAAATATAATTCAGTCTATTATTTAAAAATGTTTGTTTACAAAAAATAAACCAAAATTATATTAAGTTTTTCCGGATACATTTCTATGTAAGATTACACAAAATTTGTTTTACTCGATTCTTTTAAGGTATAAAGTAGGAATTTAAATTTTCGTGATTTTGTTTAGTTTAGAGAATAGAGGGAATTAAAGAGAAATGAATGAAGAAATGAAGGTTGAATGATAATTTGATAGATTAGATGTAAAAAAATGTACAAAAAATAATATAATTAATTATCAAATGTATGTTATCTAAAAATTGAGTTTAAATAAGTATCTTTTATGGTATATAAAATTGAGACTACTTATTTATTATCATAATAAAAATTAAAAAATAAAAAAGCCCATAATAATTATAAATAATTAAAAAATATATTAAAAATATAAATAATAACAAATAAAATTATAACACCCAATAATTTATTTTTTAATCATTTTTTATTTTATTTTCTTTTCCCATCCTTTTTTTTTACAAAACGAATTATAATAAAATTGTTAATATAAAAAAAATAGTTGATAGATGCATCCTCATATTCAATTATGAGATAAATAAAAGCAAAAGGGTTGAACATAAGTGATTAATTATTGGAACTTTTGTTAGAGTTTAAATCTTGACAAAAACAATTTGTAATTAAACTTTATTTATTAACCTGTCAACTAGATTTGTTTAAGAAAATGTCTTGAAATATTATTATAAATAAAAAAGTTAATTATTGGAATTCTTCTTTTGTTAATATTTTGAACGCCAGAATTCTTCTCTTACATAAAAAGAGTACCGAGGTAGATCAAAGACACCATTGACATGCATTAATTGAATAAAAGAAATTAACATGAGTTATGAGAAGAATAAATACTTTAATAATGTGATAATTTAAAATTTAAATTTCTATTAAAAGTTGTCACATTTAATGTTGACAGTGTCTTGAGTAGAGTTATTTCAAAAAATAAATATTTGAGAAAAATAAAATATACAAGATTGAATCTACCCCAAATCCAAATTACCATGGGGTGTCCGGCTCCAATGTAATTTATTTTTTTAATTTTTTTCTTTATACATTTCACAATAACAATAAAGCATGACAGTGAAAAAGGTTCTTTGGAGAAAGCAACATAGAGAAAAAAATAAAAACTAAAAATTAGTTGTAATAATGTAATGATAGCTTTCCTTGTCCTTTTTCTTTTTCTTCTTCTTCCTTCTTCTCCTTCAATCTTCTTCCTCTTTCTCTTCTTTTCTTGCCGCCCCACACTCTTTTTGTCAAACCATCAAATACACATAGCCAATACCATAACACACACGTTTAGCTCCATATAGCTCCTGGTGCCAATGTTTTGCCGCATAGAGTAAACAAAAGAAGGAACATTGAAAAGCACAGGATTCCCAATTACCATTTCCACAATCATATCAGGTGAGTCATTTTTCTCCAAATTTCCTTTCCCGGTTTTTCCTCTAATTGCTTAGGTTGTAGTGTGATCACCCATAATTTTTCCTGAATTTCTGGGTTTTTCAGGGATTGGATTGATCTGTGGGATTGTTTTGTTTCATGCTGAGGTACGTTTAAGTTTGAATTTTGGTAAGTTTCCAAGATAAAATTTCTTTTTTGGTGGGAACTGTTGTAGGTGGGTCATTGGATCTTATTTGGGTACCCTTTGTTTGTTTATGCTTGATCAATCAAAACAGGTTTTGATTAGGGGGAGAGTTATCAAAGGAGAGAGATAGAGAGGGGAAGATGGGATCAGAAATTGGAATCAAAATAAGGAAAGTTGTTGTAATTTCAATGAGAGGTGCTTTCAGATCAGCTTGCAACCATCCATTCCTTTTGGGGTTTTTCTGTTTCTTGTTTTTGTTGTACAGATCTTTTCCTTTTCTATTTTCTGTTTTGGTCTCTGCATCTCCTGTTTTGGTCTGCACTGCTATTCTGCTTGGGACCCTTCTCAGTTTTGGGCAGCCAAATGTGCCAGAAGTTGAAAAGGAAGAGAAAGTTACTCATGGCATTTCATCCTTCCAAGCTGGGTTTTCGGAGGGGCACACTGTTTTTACTAACAGAGATGAGAGCTACTTTGTAAAGGGGTATTCAGAAAATAATAGTGACGTGGAAGAGAGGGGCATTGAGGAAGCAAGTTTGGTTAGTGAGAGGAATAATAGGGAAGAAGAAGAAGAAGCCAGCTTGCGTTCTGAATTGCCCCCAGATGATGAAAACTCACTGTCTGAAAAGAAAGAAACAGGGGAAGTGGAAGAGGAAAGGGAATTCCACAGTTTTGAGCTGGGAAAGAATAGGGTAGTTCATGAGGAGAACCTGACATCCGAAGCTGTTTCGAGTGATGATGAAGCAATTGAAAAACAATATGTCATGGTTCAGAAAGTGGATGATGATATTCTTCAATTTGAAAGTGAGAAACCTCTGAGAGATCATGTGGACTTTCCTGCTAGCTCTTCTTGGAAACAGGTTGAAAATGATGATAAAGATGATGACTCAGTGGAGTCAGGTTCTGATGGGGCTGAGAGCTCTTCACCAGATGCTTCCATGGCTGACATCATTCCAATGCTTGATGAACTCCACCCACTACTAGATCTAGATGCTCCACAACCAGCCCGTGTGTCCCGAGATGGTTCTGATGCAGCATCTGAGAAGTCTCTGAATAGTGATGATGACAGCATCGAATCAGATGCTGATACCGAAAACCCTGGTGATGTAGAAGATGATGATGGTATTGATGAACGTGATGATGAAGAGGAAGAAGAAGCTACAGGTGGCAAAGAGGATGAAAGTAAATCTGCTATCAAATGGACAGAGGATGACCAAAAGAATCTCATGGATCTGGGAAATTTAGAGCTGGAAAGGAATACACGGTTGGAGAATCTTATTGCCAGGAGAAGAGCAAGGAGATTGATGCCTGAGAAGAATCTAATAGACTTAGATTGTGCTGATATTCCCTGTAATGTTGCTCCTATTGCTACAATCAGACGTAACCCGTTTGATTACCCTGATGACACCTTTGCTGCCATGGGATTACCACCCATTCCTGGATCTGCTCCTTCTGTTCTACAGCCTAGACGAAACCCTTTTGATATTCCCTACGACTCAAATGAAGAAAAACCTGATCTTAAAGGGGACAGTTTCCAACAAGAGTTTACAGTGTTTCATCAAAAAGATACCTTTTTCCGGCGGCATGAAAGTTTCAGCATGGGACCGTCAGTGTTGGGGTTATCCAAGCAAGAGAGGTATGATTGGAAACCTGTCTTTGTATCTGAAAGGATGGCTTCAGAGGGAACAAGCTATTCTTCATTCCACAGGCAATCAAGTGAAGTAAGTGATTCAAAGTTGAGTTCTGTTCCAGATACTGAATCTGTGAGTTCAATTGATCAGGATGACAGGAAATTCAGTGAGCAAGACTTGTCTCAAGAAACTGAATTGGTATCTAACATAAATCTTGCTTCGGAAGCTGCTGAACATGGAAGCCAAACCTCTGAAGAAAATGATTCTGTGGAGATGATACAAGTTGAGGAGAGCACTGTTTGCCATGATGAAGTTGAGATAGTGCTGGGTGGGGTGGAAAATCCTTCCGAGATGGTATTTTATCCTGAAACAGGAGAGGTTGAAATCCATGAACAATTTAATGCAGGAGAAACACATTTGAGAAGAGAACCAAGTGATGAGGAGAGAGGCAGCGACAGCAGCAGATCAAGCCATTCTTCACTATCAGAAGTAATTGACAGCATACCAGATGAGAAAATAGAGAGTTTGCAAGAAGGAGATGGCCATGTCTCTGAATCCAAAATTTCAACACAAGCTTCTGGGGAGGAAGCAAAATTCCAGCATGTTAGAAGTGGTGAGGTGGAAGATAATCATAATGTAGACCCTGTTTATGATTCTAGTCCACTGGCTTCTGAAACACTCCAATCATTTTCGTCACTATCTTCTCATGATTCGGCTTTGGAGGTTTCTGAGATGGGATTGCCTCCTGCGTCAGTAGAAACTGCTAATGTGGCAGATAAGGAGTCTGATGTGTATGATCATAGACTGGAAGGCAATACTTCTGATCATGGTAAAACTCAAGGAGCCTCTTCTGAACTTCACGTGGAAACCAAAACGGAATTGAGGTCTGAGAAATCTGAAGATGTGAATAATTTTTCTGCATACAAGTTAACTGCAACTAATGGATCTGCAGTGGCTGAGCCTCAGGTTAACCCTGTTTCAGTGGATTCAACTTTGTCTTCAGATATGGGATCAGTTACGGATGTGAATAGTTCAGGCTTTGACCATGGACAGGATCTAGCCGACCACGTACATGGTGATTCTGAAATTCTTCATCAAGGCAATATAAATTCTCCACATTCAGACTATCATATGGCTTCTGAAAAGTCTCATATACCAGATAATGAATCTCTGGAGGAAAGTGCGCTGCCCAATGAACTATCAAGCTTTTATAGTACAAATACATCTACATTAGTCCAAGATGAAGATGAAATGTCGGCTTCCATGGCTACTGGTGCCCACCATATTTCTTCTCAAGGTTCATCTGTGCCTGCCCAACAGGATTTGCAACTTTCACCGGCAGCACCAGTGGATCATCCTAATCCACCTTCTGAAGAAACTGAACATACACAGAAATTTTCATCAAATAGCGATGGCATATTTCAAATTCAGCAGGATAAAGCCTTGTCAAGTTCAGTGGAGCAAGGTGAATCCAATATCTACCAAGATTTGGATAAAAATATGGTTGCTTTCACTTCCGACAGTCAACATGAAAGTCATGTGAAGCCAACCTCTAACATGGAGAATAGTCGGTCAATCCCCGATAAATCAGTGGTTGCACAATCTTCTAGTGATCATGGTGAAAGTCAGGTAAGCCACATGACAATTTATGCATCCATTACTCTAAACAATTTATTACCCATTGTTAATTTTAATTTTTGATACATCGTATTAATTTTTAATCCATATTGGATCTGGAATCTATTCATCAGTACTTGCCATTAGCAGTTATTTTTAACCCAAATGGGTAATATATATAAAAAGATGGTATATTTTTTACATTTCAATTAATTTGATGTTGATGTCTTCTGCAGAAAAAAAAGTTTTCATTATTATTCATTCTTAATAAATGTAAGGAAAAATAATTGTATTTTCCATCTATGTTTTCCCTTTTTGACCCCAATCAGATATTGAATAGAATAGAATCAATTTCTCTTTTACATTGAAATTTAGAAAATGAACAATTGAATATCCTTCAGAAACAAGTACATAGGTCCCAAACATATAAAATGCAATTACGATTTGATTTTTCCTTTTTTTCTAATACCCAGAAGTTAGAAGGGGAACAATATAATATTTTCTCTAAATTTTATGTGTTTTGAGCTTGCCTCGTTCTCATTACCCACAAATCCTTATTAACTTGTGACTTTTTCAGTTTTCCTGATCTTTTCTGTTGTATAATCATGAAAACTCAATACCCATCTCCATCTGAGACTATCGCTAATCCTTGTATACCGAGAAAATGTTTCTTTTATTCAGATAGGTTGTTATTGTCTAATTTGTTAGGGATAAAGCAAGTCTTTAGCTTCTGCTCCACCAAACAAAAGAAAAGCACTTCTATGAATTTTGTAGAATGGTAGCGAATGCAATTAGATATCAAACACATAGGATGGTTAGTAAGAAAATATGTGAATTTAAGTTTCATTGTTACAAGTGGATAGAATATTTTATTTCCAAGTAGTAATTGTTTGAATTATGAATTCTTTGGCTATTTCTACAAACACATGATTGATGTACGTGAATAAGTTGTTCTGTTCTTTTGACCTGTTTTTATCTAAAGCTGATACCACCATTGCTAGCATTGCGTTTGTTCCATAAAAAGTGTGGTTATGGATTTAAGACTTAATTAGTGGAGTAGACTGATCATAATTTCTTTAACATTCTGCAGAGTTCTGAAACTATCCAGGTTGAATCAGCAGAGAGTTTTGGCAGATCCAATGATGAAATTGGAGAGTTGCATGATGCGACTAATGAATTTCTTCCAAGCATTTCTTCCGTGACCTCAGAAAAATCTGTCAGCCCTGAATTTGGGTCACCCACCGGTGACGAGGATTTGGAAGTTGATAGACATGGGGCAGATGAAAATAGCAGTGAATTTGATGATATGAAGGAAATTGATGAAGTATTCTTGAAAGAATTGGACACTGTTGGAGACTTTAGTGTCAATGATGCTAGTGTATCGGTTCATGCTGACATTGAACATGAGAAAAATAGAGATGCTCAAGTCTGTTCAGTCCCTAAGGATGTAAAGATGGAAGAGCTTGAACAGGACATCCCAGTTCTTGAAGCAAGATCACTTGAAGATATTAACCTGGCTTTTAAGCAATTTCAAGAAGGAGTCGATGTTAAAGAAGTCATCCTTCCAAGTACTATTAAGGGTCAGCATGCTAGTGATGAAACTAAAGATAATCTGGAAGTTAATTCAGACCTTCAAGTTGTTGAAGCCAGATCTCTAGAAGATATTAATACTGCTTTAAAGCAAGTCTCTGAAGGTAATGAAAGGGAGCTACCAAATTCCTTGGATTTGAAAGATACTACAGTCGAAGCTGAAGAAAATGAGGTTGGCTCATCCAAGGTGAATGAAAACGTTGCTGTAGCAACCAGTTCTGAAGAAACGAGCAAGACTGTGGCACATACACCGGAAAATGTGGCCAATAGCAGCTCCAGTGACAAGGCAAAATCTCACAGCAAGAAATCTAGTTCCAGTTCCAGTTCCAGCTCAAGCTCCAGCGATTCTGATTAAGTTTCTCATTCATGTTGCTTTATTTATTTTTTTTCCTTCAGTGATGGGAATTTGGCCAATCAAGTCTTGGCATGGTAGTCTGGTGGGGGTTTCGTAAATTTTGTTCGATTGGTTTCTTCAAGAATGAATTTTTGGTTTTATTTCTTGAAGCGTGCAGCTCTTTGTTCAATTTTATCCTGAGTGTGAGCAGTTTGGCAAATATAGGGTGAGTGTTTATTTCCTACAGGGGCACATTGTGTAGTCCAAAAAGAAGAAAAGAAAGAGAAATTGGATTATTGTACATTATACTTTGATTGTAGAAATGGTGATCGGACTTTATTTATGTGTATACATCAATCAGTTGTTCTTTTTTACTTTTCCTTTTCTTATTTGCTACTTTTCTCGTCACCTTTTTACACCAACTATCTTCAAGATTTTTGTTCCAAGGAAAATAGCATTATATCGTTAACCTTTACATCAATAACTATAATCTGTTTAGTCCAGGGTTCAGTTTTGACTTTCTGCCTCTATTGACCAATTCATAAAATCAGCCTTATTATTTTTTGGATACTTATTAATGAATATATTAGTCTACCTCTAATGAATAATGACTCTTTCAAGTGTTTTTTTTTTTTTCTGGCTTTCATCATTTTAGGAACCCAAAATAGTATGACCTGTACAAGGTAGAGTTTTAATATGTTTTGGCATTTCTAGATGTTTTGATTTGTCAGCTTCGATTACCAAGTTCTTTTGGGATATTGTAATCGTTCTACATACTCATACCTAGTTTTCCAGACGAGAACAAAGGTTTAACAAAAGAATTACATGACGCTTAGGGAACAAAAGTATTCCATATATTCAGTAGGCAAATGCGATAACACATCTGTGTTATCATTTCTTTTACTGGCTCTATTTTTATTCTCGTTGTTTAAAAGGATGAGATATTTCTCTTAATAATATTACTAAGGAACTGTGGCATCAATTTCTGGAAAGACAGGCTACAGCTTTTGTTTCTTGTTTGGTGGTCCGGAAGAAGTCTCAACCTGCAAACACATTTGGAAATTGCACGATTAAATACCATACTAGAAGCTTTGGTCTGGAAAGCACTACTAGGGTTTAATTTTTTTTTCTCCACATTCATGCAAATATATAAGTTTTAATTTTAGTCCTATAATATTTTCTTAGATCCTGAAAGCAAAAATCATTACACTTGTAACAAGAAAAAATATATTTAAATTTTTTTCCAAAGCTTCTGCCCTGGCATACAAACTTATAATATGCTGAAAACTAAACCATAACCTAAATTTCTGCCAACTTCCAAGTACAACATTCATCACAAAATAAAAGAATTTCTTACAGCATTCAGTTGTTCCCTGATGTATGTCATGGATCTCAGCATAGCTTCAAGTGTGTCCTTTGTGAGATGAAACTTTACCTCTGTTTCACCTGATGGAGAGTTACTGTAATCATGTAGCTACAAACGAAAGCAGATATCACAAGGAAATCCTTCATAGTATCACAAAGGTACATTACAACAAAACCAAAAACACAAAATATTGCAGGTACATTTTAGCACTTTAACATATCTAACAGTATAGTGTTAAGAAGCTTTTAGTGAATGCTTCTAAAACCAGATTTTGATTCATAATAACCACGCATCAAACATAACTCTCCTCGTTACCTTGAGGCTGATTATAGCCACTCTATCTGCAGGGGATGATCCGCGATTCTCCATGGTCCACGTCATTGATTTGAGGTAAGGAAGGCTTTCCTACCATGTTATTTTATAATAAAAACAAATTAAAGTCAATAAATAACCAAAAGAGGAGAGGAAATAGGGAGAATATACCATGTTTACATGCCAGGATATTTCTCTTCTACAATAAGAGACTCAATTTAGATAATAAAGAAAATGGATTGAGTAGTCCTAAAGTATATAATCACAATAATCAATGACAAAAACAGCAGTTAATATTTCAATACATCATAATTTATTATTTATGTACACCCAATCTTCTGGTCAATTATTAAAATTATTTACTTTAATGAGTTACTCACAAAAGTAAATCATTTCAGTTGTTAATAAGAAAATCAACTATGAATACTATGTATAAATATGAAATATAAAATCATAATGGTAAGATAGACCATTAACCACTGATTATTTTGACCAAATACTGGTATTGCTTACTTCACCATAAGCTATTTGGAACTAGAACCAAAAATCAGTGGTGTATTCTGAGAGGTCAGACAATATATATAAATATGAAAAAATAAAAGAATAAAAATAAGAGAGTTCAAATTTATAAATATATAAATAAATATATTTAATAATAATTAAGTTTTGGTCAAACTCATAAATGTTAACGTAAATTTCAACTTAGTCATGAACCCTTCCCTCGTTTTCCAAGAACCCTTCCCTCAATTTTCCAAGAAGATCTACTAAAAATCAGGCCAGTCAACTTTTTCTCACATTCAAAATGTAATCACATTCATGTTTCAAAAGTGCGTTCTAGTGCCAATTTATTAAGATAAAAACACGAGTCTGTGCGACCTTATCTTAACAACTCGAAACCATCAATTGAGCTTTCTTTCAATAAATCAGACTTAAAACACGCATTCAAATTCTGAATAGTCCAATCTTCATCCAACGGTCACCAATGCAATCACTAAATGAATTTCAAAATAACTGACCACACCGAATCCGGTTCCTCCAAGTACGACGTACCGCGTCATCACAGGGAGCAACGGCGTCACACTGGAAGCACGGCGGCGCAGTTTCGAAATCAGCGCGATTGAGCGGGGAAACAGAACTGAGGTCATGCCGCGGCCAGAGCAGCGTAGGAGCAACGTTCGGTGTTCCCTTCGATTGCGGCGACGCGTCCTCCTTCCACCGATCCCTATTTCTCCGCAACGATGAGAGCAGATTCGTTCGGAGGTGGAGCGGAAGGTCGGGCGGAAAGAGCTTCAAAACGTCTTGGTCGTCGCGAGCTAGGCTGTGACGCGCGCATTTTCCGAGGAGGAAGCGGAGGCACGCCAAGACCTGCGAGATAGGTGAGTGATGGTGGAAAAGAGGGAATTGGCGGTGAAAGTGGTGAGGTGAGAGGGTTACTCACGGGGTCGAGCTGGGAGAGTGAAGAGAGGCGGAGGAGGGATTGGAAGCGGGCCTTGTCGGAGAGGGGAAGAGCGGTGTTGCGGGTGGACCAGAGGGTGCAGAGGATGCGGTCCAGTGTTTCCTCTGATTGTATATGAGATAGCTTGTGAAGTTCGTGCAGCACTTCAGTCTCCTCCATTTGCTCCGACAACAAGGATCCGACCCGAACCCTTTGCTGCCCGGTGGTTTGTTCGGCGGTGAAAACTGATTGCTTCGTTGCTGCTCCTCAATTCAATTCACGTCTAAACTAGACTATATTTTCCTTTCACATCCATTTAATAGTTTTTGTTTTCTTACTCCTAGGTCTTACCATTTTTTTTTATGTGAAATAGAAAATTTGAATAAGAAACTACTATTGTGAAGGAACACATAAGAGAACCACAGAAGAATAGAATGCTAATAAATGAGTTAATGGTTGGAAAAGACAACTTTGTTAATCATATTCATGAATTAAATATAATCGCAGTACAGAACAATTCCAGTTTCAGAACGTTGACCCACGTTCAAAATTCAAACTGATACAACTAGTTTCAAACCAAACAAATGCTAACCTATTTTCAATCCCTAAAGGGGTCACTCTCTCAACACATTTATTTCCTTTGCAAACAAATATGAGAGATAATGAAAAGATTTCTAAAGTTTCAGAAATTGAATTCAGTGTCCTGAAATTTTCCAGGAAGAAGTTAACGAAAACTTCTATTATAGTCTCGAATCTCACTAAAACCAAAGATAATTTCAACCTCTCTCGTAAACAGTTGCAATGTAGATCATGGAAGCAACCAACTACGCAAACAAACAAAGTCATAATAATATCGATTTATATTTTCCAATAGAGTTACCTAATGTCCTCAAATGTCAATAACTTAAAAGGCAAAAAGCGAAATACCCTTATGTCTAAATAAATTATATGACTTTTGGTGTGAAGGTAACCAACTTAAAAGTAGTTTAATAGATCTATTTATTATGGCTAAACCTGAATTAAAAGTCATTGATAAATACTGAGATTGATTATATATTGTGAATGTGTAAATCTTTGATAGGTTTGACTTTATTTTCATATTTGGTTTGCAACAAAAATGAAGGAAATTTGTTCAGTTATATTTTAATTATACAAATATTATTAATAATTTTTATTTGTATAAATTTTGTTTATTGAGTCATAAATCATATATGAACATAAAAAATTATAATGAATGGAGGTGGATTTGTTGTATTATAATTATAATTTTTTATACTTAATTATATGATGAATATTATCTTCAAATAAAATTTGAGAATTTTCATCAAGAATATTATATCCTTTTCGATTAGAATACATATTTAAAAATATAGTTTTTTCTTTATGAAATAAAGTCTATCAAAATCGAGCTTTCAGAAGAATCATAAATCCTTTTAAGTATAATTCCTTTTGAAGATTTTGTCCTACCGCTACCAACATTCTGCGCTGCTTCCTTTGGAATATCTAAATGAGTTTGAGAACTTAGATCAAACTGTGAGCTTATATTTTTTACTAATATTTTTTCTCTTTTTTTCTTCTATTTTTATATTTTTATCTTTCCTTTCCCCACCTATTCATTTTTCACATCAACTTTTTTTTATTATTATACACTCATTTTATCTTTTCACATTTCTATCTTTTTTTTTTTACATTGATTTACTTTTATATTTTTCTTTTACCTGGTTTCACCTTACAACATACATTTAGTAAGGTTTTCTCTTTAGTTTTCAATTTTTTTTCTTTTGTATAATTTCATATTTATAACATAAAAATTGTAATTTTGTGTTCTTTAGTTTTTTTTTTTTTTCACATTGAATACATAAAATAAGAAGTTAAAAAATAAAGAAGATACCCACGATAATTTTATTGAAGTAAAATAATACTAAAAGAATATTTTCTTTATTGTTTTTGTTTATTATTATATCAACTTAACATGTGTACTATAATATAATAATATGAAATATTGATATAATTTTTGTATTTGTTATTAATTAGTTAGTTATTTTAATATTTTATGATATTCTATTTTGATATTAAAATATGAACATAAAAATTCAGGTTGAGTTTTAAAGATGTTTAAAAAAAATTATAAACTCATTTTTAAGAGAAAAAAAGATAGATGAAAAAATAAACTTTAATTTTCAAAATTTAAATTTAATTAGTAAGGTTGAACATACTATTAAGAAATTTATTACCATAAGAAATTAAAATACCTTTTTTAAATCTAAGAAAAAAACAATAATATTCTCTCTCAGAAATAAAAATAACTTAACTATTATGCAATGTCTTAATAAAATAAGAGGTAGGAAGAAAGTGATTTTAGGGTGATTTACAAGACAAAATATTATGCTTATTTTATAACAAAAAAGTAAATAACAACATATAATTTAGGAGTGTCAAGATAGATTTAGCCCAATGGACTAACCCGAAGAGCCTAAAAAATAGGTTAAGTTAGGCTAAAAAATTTGTGGTCTAAATTAAATCAAAACTATTTTTATCTGACCTATATACATCACGACCTATGTGGGCATAGGTCACACTAACCCATAGACTTATGGGCCGACCTATTTTATAGAATAATAATAATTATTTAAATAAAAATAAAATTAATATTAATTTATTAAAAATATATATGTATTATAAATTAATTAGACAATGAATTCACTTATTCTAAAAGTAAATATAGAAATAAATATCTAACAATCATTTATTACAATATCTAATAATTAAGATTAATTACTATTTTAAATTAATAGATTACTAAAAAATAAATAATGATAATAAATAGTAAGTTTTTAATTATTATTTTGAGATTGAATGAATGTATTCCTTATAATTTATATATTAAATCATTATATATTATAATTTTATTCATAAAATTGAAAATTTAAAAATAAATTTTATTTTCTATTTTTATATTAATGTATTTTTAGTTATTGATTTTATATAGATATGTTAATATATTTTTTTAAAATTCAATGAGACTAAAATTGACTAGTTAGCTTATTGGTCTAACATAGGGCCGAGTCTAAGCTAAACTTTTTGGTTTATTTTAAAATATAGGTCAGATTTGGTCATAAATTTTTTTCACTTGGACCATAGGACTAGGCTGAACCGCTCATTTTAACAGTTCTACTGATATGAGACTTCTCTTTTCACAGTCTCATATTCTCCTACTTGAAGATTTTTTGATTAAATTAATCAAATCTTCACTGCACACTATTATTATCTTCCATATTGTTATTTCTCCTAATAGACCTTTAGTAGGATCTATCCATTTAAACTTGTCACTACTAACTGTTATAACACAACTAGGTTCGTCTTTCTGTGTCCTGAAATGCAAGGCTAGATTCCTTGCAATATGCAACAAACTCTGACTATCATAATACACAATAATCTTTTACTATTTGTGCCTGAGTTCCTCTATTAACATTTTTTAATTCGATAACTTCCTCATATGTTGGGTGATTACCATGTATTCAACTTCTACAATATCTTGTAACTTTGATAACTAATTATTATCTCTCCTACAAGTGCAAACACGTCAACATCACTTATAAAACCTAAACAAACATAACTTCTAACAACTAGTTATGATCCTCCAAAACATAATGCAGCATTCAAAGTTCCTTTGATAAGGATCCTCTTAATAACACTCATACTCCCCATCATAATTTGTAATGAATTTACTAATCGCTCTCATTGCTTTTACAATGTTTAGTCTTGTATTGATCATTGTATCAATAAGACTTCCCATTGTCGATGCATACAATATTCAAGACATTTTTATCCTCTCCACTTCATTGTTAGGACTCATACTTGAGGATAACTTGATAGAAAGTGACACATAAATTGACTTATACCCTTGCATGTTAAAACACCACAAGACTTTCAGTGAGTAATTTTTCTAATAAAGTCAAACATTCCTATCTTGTATGTTCTGGTGAATTTACATCCCTAAAATCTTGTTCGATGGTCCCTAGTCCTTCATATTAGGCTTCCTAACCAACTATGCCTTCAAAACTTGGATTCAATTTTTATGGGACCTACCACTAACATGACATCCACATACAACAATAAAATAATAAAATTATTCTTACCAAATTTATTATAATAGGTACAATAATTTAAACTTAGTTTGTTGTAATCAAAGCTAATAATGAAGAATTAAATCTCTTGTACTAACACTTGGTTGAATCGTACAAAGATTTGGTTAATTTGTAAATCAAGTTTCTTTTTTCTTTACGTTTTCTGGTTGGAGCATACCAATCCTCTCCAAGTTCACCTTAAAGAAAAGCAATATTTGTATCCTGCTAATAATAATCTTATGTGTGGTGAAATTCCACGAGAAATACCATTTCACATTGTTAACATAGTTCAAGTATCCGTCATTTTTTAACTTTGAAAGCACAAACTTCTTCTTGATGCGGTACACTCATATTCTCCTAGGGATAATACCAGTGTTTCCAATGCATGTTCATTTTCAATTATTTTTAAATTTGGTACTAAAAGTTGGGTAAACATTTTTAACTTATTAATGTGATTCGTCACTGATGTGTATTCACTCATTTAAAGAGTATAAAGTTTTCTCTTCAAGAATATTCTTGTTTGAAGTGACTTAACATCGTACAATTTGATGAAGGATTCTCAAATCTCCTTCGTTGTACATTTTTTTCTCAATGTTAGATAAAACTTTATCTATTAATGCTAAGTGCAAATTTGCTATAAAATTGTTATTGATTTATTCCCATCTTGGATTTGTGTTGCCCACAGGTCTTTCTCAAATTGCATATACACAATTTTATTTTCTCAAAATTGCCTTCATCTTCAGTTTTAATGATGAGAACTTATTCCCATTAAACGTCTTTATGTGATATTTTGTTGTCATGATTTTAACCAACTTATGTACCTTTCAATGTGAATAGTATTACTTATAACAACAACATAAAACCATAATTAGTATATCAGGTAAGCTCTCAAAAAAGAGAGGTGGATAAAAAATGGACACACTTAAATATCAAATCTTTTTCTTGTCAAAATTTTTCCTAGACATGCACTGTCAGCAGACTACTACATTCTATATCCAATAATTAGAATAATTATTTTCTTATATGAAAGATTAAATTAATTGCACCCACAAA